TGTGAAAAATGCTGTTGGTATTTTGATAGAGATTGCATTAAATGTATACATTGCTTTCAGTAGTATAGACATTTTAAACGTATTTGTTCTTCCAACCCATGAATATGGAAAGTTTTTCCATTTCTTTGTGTCCTCTTCAATTACTTTCATCAGTGTTTTATACTTTTCAGAGTATAGGTCTTTAAATTCTTTGTTAGGTTTATTCCTAGGTATCTTATTATGTTGGTGCCATTGTAAATGGGATTGTTTTCTTAATTTCTCTTTCTGCTGCTTCCTTATTGGCATATAGATATGCAGCAGATTTCTGTACATTGATTTTGCATCCTATGACTCTACTGAATTTGCTTATCAGTTCTAGCTGTTTCTTGGTAGAATGTTTTGCGTTTTCTTTATATAGTATGATGTCATTTGCAAATAGTAAAAGTTTTACTTCCACCTTACCGATTTGGATGCCTTGTTGTTGTTGTTTTATTATGTTGTCTGATTGCTGTAGTTAGGACTTCCAGTACTATGCTGAACAAAAGTCATGTGGGGTGCTTGGCCGGCTCAGTTGGTAAAACATGTGGCTCTTAATCTTGGGACCATGAGTTTGAGTCCCATGTTGGGTGTAAGAGATTGGTTAGAAAAAAAAGTTTTAATTTTTAGTTAAAGATCTTATTTATTTATGTATTTATTTATTATTTAAAGAGCATGCTAGAGTGTGTAGAAGGGAGGGGTCAGGTGAGGGAGATGGGGGTGGGAGAGAACCTCCACGAGACTTGCCTGTATGCAGAGCTGATTGCAGGCCTCTATCCTGCTGCCAGATCATGACCTGAGCTGAAACCAAGAGTCAGATGCTCAACTAACTAAGCCATCAAGACAACCCAAATAAAATTCTTTTTAAAAAGTGGTAAGTGTGGACATCCTTGTCTTGCTCCTAATCTTAGGGGGAAAACTCTCAGTTTTTCCCCATTAAGGATGATGATAGCTATTGATTTTTCATATATGGTCTGTATCATGTTGAGGTATGTTCCCTCTAAAGCTACCTTGCTGAGGGTTTTTATCATAAATGGATGTTGTACTTTGACAAAAGCCTTTTCAGCATCTATTGAAATGATTATATGGTTTTTATCCTTTCTCTTATTGATGTGATATATCACATTGATTGATTTGGGAATATTGAACCAATTTTGCAATCCAGAATTATCCCATTTGATCATGGTGAATGATTTTTTTAATATATTGTTGAATCTGGTTTGCTAGTGTTTTGTTGAGAATTTTTACATCTATGTGCATCAGGGATATTGACCTGTACTTCTCTTTTTTAGTGGTTTCTTTATCTGGTTTTGGTATTAGAGTAATGCTGGCCTCATAGAATGAGTTTGGAAGTTTTCCTTCCTATTCTGTTTTTTTTTAATAGTTTGAGAAGAATAGGTATTAAGTCTTCTTGAAGTGTTTGGTAGAATTTGTCAATGAAGCCATCTGGTCCTGCTTTTCTTTGTTGGGACTTTTTTATTTCTGATTCACTTTTTCTGTTGGTTATTGATCTGTTCAAATTTTGTATTTCTTCCTGCTTCAGTTTTAGTAGCTTATATGTTTCTAGAAATTTATCCATTTCTTCTAGGTTGTCCATTTTATTGGCATATAGTTTTCTTAATATGCCCTTAAAATTATTTACATTCTTGTGTGTTGGTTTTTATTTCTCCTCTCTCACTTATGAATTTATTTATTTGAATCCTTTCTCTTTTTTTCCTTGATAAATTTGGGTAGAGGTTTATTAATATTACTGATTGTTTTCAAAAAACCAGGTCCTGCTTTCATTGATTTGTTTTTTGTTGTTGTTGTTGTTGTTGATTTCTTTTTTGTGTTTTTTTTTTTTTTTAGTTTCCATATCATTTATTTATGCTCTAATCTTTATTATTTCCTTCTTTCTGCTGGTTTTAGGTTTTGTTTGTTCTTCTTCTAGTTCCTTTCAGTGTAAGGTTGTTTATTTGAGGCTTTCCTGGCTTATTGAGGGAGGCCTATATGGCTATTCCCTCTTAGAACTGCTTCTGCTGCATCCCAAAGGATTTAGACTGTTGTGTTTTCATTTTCATTTGTTTCCATATTTTTTTTATTCTTTCTCTTATGTCCTGATTGAACCATTCATTTTCTAGTAGCATGTTATTTAACCTCCATGTATTTATAGTCTTTCCAGGCTTTTTGTTGTAATCGTCTTCTGGTTTCATAGTGTTGTGGTCAGAAAAGATGCATGGTATGACTTTGATTTTCTTGAATTTGTTAAGGTTTGTTTTGTGGGCTAATATGTGATCTATTCCAGAGAATGTTCCTAGTGCACTTAAAAAAGAATTTGTATTCTGCTGTTTAGGATGGAAGGTTCTGAATACATCTGTTAAATCCATCTGTTCCAGTGTGTCATATAAAACTATTGTTTCCTTGTTGATTTTCTGTTTAGATGATCTGTCCATTGATGCAAGTGTGGTGTTAAAGTCCCCTACTATTATTGTATTATTATAGATTAGTTTTTTATATTTGTTATTAACTGTTTTATGTATTTGGGTGCTCCTATGTTGGGTGTACGTTTATTATTATATGTCCCCTTTGTCCTTTTTACAGTCTGTGTTTTAAAGTCTATTTTGTCAGAGATAAGTATTAGCTATTCCAGCTTTCCTTTGACATCAATTTGCATGATAACTATTTCTCCATCCCCTCACTTTCAATCTTCAGATGTTTTTAGCTCTAAAAGGAATCCCTTGTAGGCAGAAGATAGATGGGTCTTGTTTTTTATCCATTCTGTCACCCTATGTCTTTTGATTTGAGCATTTACTCCATTTACATTTAAAGTAGTTATTGATAGATATGTACTTATTGTTATTTTATTATTTGTTTTGTGGTTGTTTCTGAAAATTTTCCTTTTTCTTTTCTTTCTTTTATGTTTTGCTGATTTTCTTTAGAGATATATTTGGATTTCTTTTCTTTTATTCTTTGCATATTTATTAGTGCTTTTTGATATATGGTCACCATTAGGTTTGTATATAACCTCTTCTTCATACAGCAGTCTATATCAAGTCGATGGTCCATTTAAGATTGAATCCATTTTTAGATAGATATATGTTATTATATTTTACATCCTTTTATTTTGTGAGTTCCTTGACTGATTTTTATGGGAATATTAATTTTTACTGCTTTTGTGTTTCCATTATACTTTCACCTTTAACTGTGTTTTCCACTTAAACACTCCCCTTTAATGTAAAGAAAGGGGAACACTCTTACACTGATGGTGGAAATGCAAGTTGGTGTAGCCACTTTGGAAAACAGTGTGGCAATTCCTCAAAAAATTAAAAATAGAGCTACCCTATGACCCAGCAATTGCACTACTGGGTATTTACCCCAAAGATACAGATGTAGTGAAAAGAAGGGCCATCTGTACCCCAATATTCATAGCAGCAATGGCCAGGGTCGCCAAACTGTGGAAAGAACCAAGATGCCCTTCAACAGACGAATGAATAAAGAAGATGTGGTCCATATATACAATGGAATATTACTCAGCCATCAGAAAGGATGAATACCCAAATTTACATCAACATGAGTGGGACTGGAAGAGATTATGCTGAGTGAAATAAGTCAAGCAGATAAAGTCAATTATCAAATTATCAAAAAAACTCCTGCATTGGGAGATGTGGTATGAGCTGGGGTTTTGTCCAGTCTTCTTGAGGAAGTGGCCTGTCATGCTGGGATTTAGGCAAGACTGACTAGGAAGGGCAGTTGCACTGAAGCATGGGTCAGAGTTTCTTAAGAAAGTTAGGTAATGAGTGGTCCATGTTGGGCTGGTTACCACAGGTAGCTCTGTGTTTATGCTGAAGGGCAGTGCAGGGAAATGGCACTTCCCATTTCCTTCATTCCTCGTGGAGTCTCTCTGTGAATGGTGCTTCTTTAAGACATGCTCCAAAATGAACAGATAACCTCACCACTCTGTGCCTCAGACACTCTTCAGCTATCTGATTCCATGCTGCATGTCTGCAGGTTATTTACCTGCCTCTTCTACAAGAGTAGCCCCAGTATCCTCCAGGTTCTCCTGGGCCCAAGCCCACTGACCTTTAGAACGTTAAGCTTTAAACCCCACCCTTTGCAAGAACTCATGAAATTCATGCCTTCTTACCCTCCAAGTCAATTGGTATGGGGATTTGTTTTCCTCATGCAGTCCCCTGTGTGTTAGTCTGTCTCTCACCCTTCTCTGCAACAGTGGCTGCCTCCCCACCACAGCAGCCATAACCTCTTTCTCCCAAACTGAGTCTCCATGCTTCCTACCTTTTATCTTTAGTTGTGGAATTTCTTGTGCCAGTCTTCAGATTGATTTCTAGGGTATTTAAGATGATTTGATAGTTATCTAATTGTACTTGAGGGGCAAGACGAGTCTAGGATCCTCCTACTCTGCTGTCATCTTCCAACCTCATAAATTCTTTTCAGACTTACTGTAAACATCATTCCTGAAAGTATCTTTTATATAATAAGTTTTGCCGTTGATAAAAGGAAAAGTAAGATCAGGCCCTATCCAGATTATATCCACATTCCTTAAAGCTGAAGACAAGATTAGAGGTTTACCAAATTTCTTACTTGGTTAGTAAAGGAAAATTTTGTCATTTTATTTGAGTGGAGATTAAAAAAAAAAAAAAACGAAACAAAAACCTTTCTACCTTTTTTAGAAGCCTAACAGTAGTACTTGTTTAAACTTCTTGAAGTTATTTCAAAACTGTCTTTCATCCTGCTGAGGTCAAGTCACCTTCTCACATGGGATTATCTTCTATTTCAGGTATAAGCTTGATGGTAAAAAGAAAAAAAAAAGTCTCTTAAGAGAAAGTGAAGCAAACAGGCTTTTTTGTTATTCTCAGCTTAGTATCATGGAAAATTCCAGTGTCACTAATATGACAGTAGATACATTTTTGGGAAATGAAATCTATTGCTTTTTCATCACTGAAAACTTATATCATTAGCTGACTTATCATTATATTCTTGTTCCTAAGGTATGAAATAATGAATTTCAAGGAAATGGGGAAAGATTATTTTGATTATATCAATGTTGGAAGCTGGGACAATGGAGAATTAAAAATGGATGATGATGAAGTATGGTCCAAGAAAAACAACATCATTAGATCCGTGTGCAGTGAACCATGTGAGAAAGGCCAGATAAAGGTAAAATGGAGTCTTTTTTTAAATTTTTGTCATTAATTCAAAAGTGTTCACTATCATTGGTTATTTCTTTTAAAAAAAAGATTTATTTATTTGAGAGAGAATGCATGTATGGGTGTGCATGCAGTGGAGGGAGGTTGGAAGAGCAGAGGGAGAGGAAGAGGGAAAGAATCCCAAGAAGACTCTGCACTGAGCATGGAGCCTGACACAGGATTCAATCTCACAACCCTGAGATCATGACCTGAGCAGAAACCAGGAGTTGGACACTCAACCAACTGGGCCACCCAGGTGCCCCATTACTGGCTATTTCTAAAACATTTAGATATTTGCTTTTTTACATTATAAGCTTCTAATGTCAGAAATTGTGTTTTGTGGGGTTTGGGGGGGTGTTTTTGTTTTGTTTTGTTTACTTTTCTCTCATTAATTCCTTCTGATAGTATGACCCACAATAATCTTAATAGTCAGACTGATTGAACCAGTTGTTGAGTCATGCTTCCCCACACCCTTTATACTCATGTAAGCCTTTTAAAGACATGTTTCCTGGGGATAAATAGTTCACAGTTGGAAACCACATTAATTTCTAATTAACTTAACAAATATTTATCAAACTCCTGCTAATGTAATAGTTTATATCAATGGGGCAAAAATAAGTAACACACATTCACTGCCAGAAGATTTATAGTCTAGCTGAGGAAAAATGGGCACAAATAAGCAACATCATATAAAATGCAATGACTTCATTAAGAAAGAAAAAAAAACACATATATAAGTTCATATAAAATAAAGGAAAAGGTTTATTCTGAGTAAAATATCAGACCATGAAGAACTGATATGATTTCAGGGAGAGATGTGGGAAAATGATCACTTATGTAGAAGGAACAGTAATAGGAAAAATACAGAAGTAGTCTATTGAAGATTGTTCTGGAATAACTGAATAATCTAGGGTTCATTGCTTTAAATAGTCATTATTAAAGAGAAAGTCAAAATGATAGATTGAAGCCATATTTGTGGAGAGTTTTGAATGTCATACTAAGCAGGTTGAACTTAATTTTTATTAACCAGGAGTCAGAGTAATCTTCACAAAGATGTTGAGATAAGCTAGACTATAGTAGGTGAGAGGTATGAGTAGCTATGAAACATGAATAGAGAAAGAAGAGACAAGTAAGGACACTGTGATAATGGTGACAAGAAGCTTGGATTATGGAGGGAGCAGTGAGAATGGAGAGGGAGCAGGGGAGATGTTTGAGAGAAATATTATATAGACAGGTATACTCAGTCAGCCCTGGTTACCAATTGCATGTAGTGTTGGAGAAGAAAAAGAAGTCTATGACAATCAATCACCATTTCAATCTTAGTAACTAGAAAGTGTCATTATCAAGCATAGAAAAATGGGAATGGTTTTAGAGAAAAATAACGGGCTAGTTTATAACAATAAACTTGAGATATCTAGCCAATGATAGAAAACATTGGTCTACAACAATGAGAAGGCTGAAGATACAGATTTAGAAGTTAACTGACTAGAGCTGCAGTTGGAGCTGTTCAAGTAGATCAGTCACTGACCCTGAAAGAGAAAATAAAAGTAGACCAAGAATAGATCTTGAAGATCTGCTTTGAAAGCATAAAGCAAGAAGAAAAGGTAGAGTGAAAGACAACAAGGCCAGGGAGAGATAGAACGAGAGAGCACACTATTATGTTAAGTGGTGATCAGTGGAAGAGAGAGGTCAAGGAAGACAAGAACTGAGGGAAAGACAGGAAAATTGGAGTTAGCCCTTCATCTGGAGCCTTCTGAAAATAGAACTTGGATCTTAAACAAGATAAAAGGGCAACTGAGCAGCAAGAAGAAGCAGGTAAGGGGCAGTCCTGGTAGCTTGAGGGCATTGAAAAGTTACTTTTAGACTGAGTAAGTTCTGGCCACAGTTACAGGAAATAAAAAGTCAGAAAAGAAAGAATGAAGATATAATAAAAACAGTAAGTTTAGTTATTGGGGTATAATACCTAGGGGAAGAAAAATGATATCACCATTATTTATTCATCAAATACTTATTTAAATATTACAGTACAACATTTCAGGCAGTGTATACACCTAGAGAGGTTGGACTTACTCTTTTCAGTCAACCTCGGGTTTACCCTGTTTGGAACATTTGAGGTGTTCATTCATCGATGATTACAAATGAAACTGAAGTAATTCGGTATTAATTGTAAGATTAAGAGGTAGTTCTGAAGATTTGATAAGCATAAAACCAGAAAGAAGAAAGATAAATAAAGATAAATATAAATTTATTAGTATCTGCTAAATGGCACAGTAGCTTATAGAATAGCTAAAAATTTCTGTATGTTTTGTTATGGTACACAACAAGTGTTAGTAAACCACAATCCATGTGCCAAATTCAGTCTGCTGCCTGGTTTTATAATTAAGTTTTGTTGAGGGGCGCCTGAGTGGCTCAGTTGGTTAAGTGTCTGACTCTTGATTTCAGCTCAGGTCTGATCTCAGGGGTCCTGGGATCAAGCCCACATTGGACGCCATGCTCAGTGGGGAGTCTGCTTGAGATTCTCTCTCTCTCTCCCTTTGTCTCTCCCTCAACTCATGTGCCCATGTTCTCTCTCTCTGTCTCTCTCAAATAAATAAATAAATCTTTTTAAAAATAAAGTTTTATTCAAGTACACCATGCTCATTTCTGTATGTATTGTCTATGCCTGCTTTCATGTTATAATGAATAGAGTTGAAGAGTTGAATTCCAATAGAGACTATCTGGCCCACAAAGCCAAAAGTATTTACTATCTGGTCTCTTGCAGAAAAAGTTTGCCAACCCTTAATATTCAGTGACGGTCTGCATCTTGCCCAGTCATCTTGAAATTACACTCTGTATGTGAAATTCTTTTTAGACTCACTCAGAATATTGATTGTTTGTAATTTCCATTTCCTCATGCAGAAAGATAAGCCTGTGTAAATTATCACCTGGACATTATTTGTTTTGACCTTTCACAGCAAGACAGCTTGAACGTATAACTTCAAAATGCTGAATGGCTGATTTGGGAGATATTTTAATATATACTTTTCTACCCCATTCTATGGGGAATAACTTACATGATGGAAGAATTTGACTCCCTAGTATCATATTTTTAATACTAGTTAATCTGTAATGTTTATTTAGTCTTTTTAATCCCAAATTTTATTTTCCTAACCATATATCATTTTTCACTAAATATACAATTGACAACATTTTCTTAATATGGTTTAAGGGTGTCATTGAGCAAATTCATTAAAGATGTCAACACCTCATGCCATTGTTCAGATTTGTTAACTTAGTGTCGATGGAAGTACACTTGGTCTGGCAAAGGTTCAAATGTGTTACATATGGTTATTCATAAAGGAAGCATCACTACTTCCACAGTCTTCAAAAAGAATGGGAATCACTATGTAACAGAATTATCACTTCTTATACTCAAAATCAATGTGAAACAGAACATATATATCAAGTGAAAAAAATCAATTCTGAATGATCAGAAGCAGACATACAGAGCTGTCACCAGAATTAAAAAAAAAAAAAAAAACCTGTAATATTGGAATTACTTGGAAAAGGAAATGATATTATTTTGGTTTTAAAAAAAAACTGAAAAAAATCCTGAAATTTACACACCAGTGCAAACTAAAGCATGGAAGTGAGCATATTTTTAGAAAGAAAAATGCAACTGCTTTTCTATGCCCTGCCTTGCTAAGAAAGAGAATTCTTCAGTATTTCAAATGCTTGCTTGCATTACAAAGCTAGTAATTGGCCAACAATAGTTTTACCAAGTGTGGTTGAAGTTACCTTAAAATCAAATTTATTTCTCTATGTATATATTTATATGCATATTACAAATAAAACAGCTAACATTTTTAGAGTGTCCTACAGTTTACAAATCACTGTGCTATTTTTATTTAATCCTCAGGAAAGCCTATACAGCTAGATATTATTTTAAAAGCATTGGTCTTGGGGTCAGATGGGGGACTGTTCAAAGCTGCACAACTATTTATTTAGTGGCTACAAGAAAGACTAGAACCATAGCGCCTCTTGATTCTCAAGGCCAGGACTCTCTACTACATCTTTCAAAATATCATGAACCCTATCTATATTGTTTTTAAGTTTTATTTTAATTCCAGCTAGTTATACATACAGTGTTATATTAGTTTCAGGTATGCAGTATAGTGATCCCGTGCTTCCATACATCACCTGGTGCCCATTGTAAGCTCACTATACCTCAGTTTTCTCCCTTAAAAAAAAAGAACAAAATAAAACCAACCACCTTAAACAGAGCCCCTGTAATGTTTTAATGAGATAACTGCATGCGGCATGCAGAAAACAGTCAATGAATAGTAGTATTATGAAGAATACTTTAGATAGATTAAGCAGGTCTAATTAGTGATTCTGCCTCACTTATCTGGTTATTTTAAAGAAAGGATGATTCAGACCCTTTCATCATCATTCTCTCCTTGTGTGCTTGCAGTGTCAAGAGCCAACAAAAGGGATAGAAAATGTAAAGAAAGAGGTGCCAGATTCCATCGGTATCTGGCTATCAGTATCCAGACATGGTTACTGTCAGTAATAGAGTCAGCATGGAGGACAAGGAATCTACGGTATAATCATCGCTGTGTCTGGTTATTGCTGGTGATTAATCACAGTTTTAATTATTTATAGGAATGTTTAATGAATGCTGTCTCTACTCCACAGAGGCTATGCATGCACCAGTGGTGGAAAAAAATAAAAGACATCCATTTCTAAAGAATAACATCTGGGACTCCTTCAGCTGCTAAATTATTTCAATTATTTCCCATTGCCTTAAAAAAAATCTAATGGATGAAGGGTATATAATAGCCTCAAAGACCTTATCCACTGTCATCCCAAGCAAATCAAAGGTACTAGAGTAGGAAAGAATGAGCTGTGAGTTATTGATGCAGATTTTGAGTAGAAACAGACCAAGAGACGAACTCCAGAAAAAAAAAAAAAATCATGTTCTACCTCTTAATTCAGTAGAAATTCTTAATGATTTTTTAATCAATATGGGTAGATTTCTGAACTGTAGCAGGTATATGATGTTTTTTGCTAACAATTATTCAACTACTGGAGGGAAGTCAAGGTAAATTCACAGAGTAAAATTTCTTAATTTCGGGTAAAGATGGACACAGACTCTGGGGGAAATTCAGTTACATGCATAAATATGTAAATGACTGTATTTATATATGAGCATAAACACAGGCACTTAATTAAATATAGATATCTAAAGCTAAGTATCCAAAGACTTGCATTTAATTTAATTCCAGACCCTATCACCAACTAATTTTATGATGCGAACTGATCACTTAAACTCAGCTTCTGTTTCTGTGATTATAAAATGAGAATATTAATACTTATCCTGTCTATCTGATACCATTTGAAATAATTTATGTGAAAGCCATTTCTGTTTTGCAAAGCAGCATATTTGAATAACAGATTGCTGGAATTTTTCTCTATACAAAAAAATAATCAAAATTTTAAATATTTACCTTAGGTGATCCGGAAGGGGGAAGTCAGCTGTTGTTGGACCTGTACACCTTGTAAAGAAAATGAGTATGTCTTTGATGAGTACACCTGCAAGGCATGCCAGCTGGGGTCGTGGCCCACTGATGACCTTACAGGTACATGTATCACATTGTCAGCTTGGGTACATACCTCAAAATCAACTGCAAAAGGACAAAGACATGGGTGGATGGGGTCACAACTCCAAGTGTTTCTCATCTTGGTTGTCTTGTTCATGTGATGAAGAATTCCCATAGTAACAGAAGCCTTCCCAATGCCTGGGCTAATCATAAAAACATCTCAGGAAGAGATTGGTCAATATTCCCACCTTCACCCCCAAAGTAGATCAGAATTCCTAGGTTTTCTACTGGACTTTTTCACCCCATTCTCCAGATATTCCCAGAAGGTCCTAAGCAGGGCCCCAGTTAACCATCATTTGAAGTGGAGTGGGAGAGCTGTTAGCCAGGAAAAGACTAAAAAAGACATATCCAAGAGCAAAAACGTAGCATGGAGTTGGGTGGAAGTTGGTCTAAAACTTTGATACTCTTCATACTTTTCCTTAGTCTAAACCCGGAAGCTCTAACTAATGAGTTTTTGAATAATGTTATCACAAGGTAAAACTCTGCTTGTTTTTTTTTTTTTGTTTTTGCCATTATTGTTTGTCTTGTCTGTTTGGCTTTTGTGTTATTTTGGTTTGGGTTCTTTTTATCTCACAAACATGTAAAGGGATACATCGTTGTGTTATCAAGATTATATTTCATAGCTATTTCTAATTTTTACAGTACAAAAACAGAATATAATACCCTTCATCTTTTCTTCCAATTTATTCAGTAAACATTTGTTAAATGCATATGTTACATGCCTATTTGCCTACCATTAAAATAAATATAAAGAAATAAAGCTGCGACATCTATCTTAAAGAAGTTAAAAAGGGGGTGCCTGGGTGGCTCAGTCATTTAAGCGGCTGACTCTTGATTTTGCCTCATGATCTCGGGCTCCTTGGACTGAACCCTACATTGAGTTCCATGCTCAGTAGAGAATCTACCCCCCCCCCAAATAAATAAGTAAATCTTTTTTAAAAAGAAGTTAATAAGGGATGCAAAAAGGTAAAAATATTAGTACAATTATAATAAAAGGGAAGATTTGTGGACATGGAATATGAGGAAAGGACCTATACAATTTGGTTTTCAAGAAAAGTAAGAGAAAAAACAGTCCAGGCAGAGGACCCATCGAGTGGGATGTCAGGTCATGTAGTGGTTTTACAATTAACATAGATCTCCTAGAAGCTGAGAGACTATAAAAATCAGTGTTAAACTCCATCCCTCACAGGGTGAGAGATTAACCAGGGTAGTCATATTAGCAATTCCAAAAGCCTGGTTCTACAAATCCTGTGATCCTGGACCTTTTGAGATCAGTTCACATTAATGACTTTGCTTCAGTGACTAGTATTTATATGGAAGACTTCCTTTAAAAAATAAATAAATAAAACATCCACGTGCCTTCTAATAGTATTTGAGTTCTGTTTTCACCATCAGACCATGAGCTTTCTGATACTCATACATCCTGGTATTCCCAGAGCCAACTCAGCGCTGAACACAAGCCTTCAATAGACTTAGTTGAATGGATGAGTTACAGCGTACACACACACACAAATTGTGCTTAATATGAAATAAAAGAACAAGAATTTAAAAAATAAAAGCATTAGGGAAGAAATAATTTAAATTTGCAGTTCTTCTTTGAAGAAGTGGAAATTAGTTGAGGCCTAAATAAGAAATAGAAATAGCTAGCTAAGCATGGTGAGAAGGGCATTTCTGGCTGAGAGAAAAGCACAGTCTGTGTATGAGTAACCAAATGGGAAAATCAGAAAGGTAGCAGGAACTAGATCATATATAACCTTCTAGAACATGTTTAGGATTTGAGTGTTTGGTATGAAGTGTAATGAGAAACCATTGCAGGGAGTGTAGTAGGAAAAAAAAACCCAACATGACTGGATGTATATTTTCAAAAATATAATTCTGGTAGCTGTCCAAGAGAATAATTTGGAGAGGGATGGAATGTGGGAGAAAGGGATACAGGTTGGGTGGCTACTACAGGCAGGGGTTCTTGGTGTCCTGGACTAAATAGTACATTGGAAGGTTGGAGATATACTTTTGAAGTAGAATTGACAGGACATACAAGTGAACTGGCTGCAGTAGCTATTATGTAAATGTACCAAATTTTCTGCCTTGAAGACTGAAGAAATAAATGCATTCTTTGATAAAGATCAATAGTTTGGTTTGTCTTAGATCAATTTGACATGTCTTTGAGATTTTCAGGTATGGATTAATTAATTTAACAAGCTCCTTGGTTTGAGCCAGAAAATGTAATAGGAGCTGGAAAAACAAAATATAGTAAAAGCTTTCAAGAAACTTAAAATCTAGTGGGGGGAAAGCATATAAACAGTAACAACACAGTATACTTGTGCTGCAGGTAGATGAGGAATGAACAAAGTACTATGGAAAAATGAAGGAGAGCATACTTAACATGGGGAATTGGAGGAAGTATAATCTTGGGGCGCCTGGGTGGCTCAGTGGGTTAAAGCCTCTGCCTTTGGCTCAGGTCATGATCCTAGGGTCCTGGGATCGAGCCCTGCGTCAGGCTCTCTGCTCAGCGGGGAGATTTAAAAAAAAAAAAAAAAGTATAATCTTGAAGCATAATCTTCAACTCACTTTTTTTAAAAAGTGAAGAGGTTCATATTGGAAGGTGTGTGCAACATCAAGGCTTTAAATGGCACCACCATTCTCTTGGGTGCCCTAACCAAAATGAAGTGTGCCATCTTAGACTCTTCTTTATGCCTGGCCACCCATATCCACTCACTTGTCAAGCCTGGCTATTTGAATTTCTAAATATTCTTATTCCCTCCCCTCCTCTCCATTTGTACAACTCTTCCCTTGACCAGGTTCTCATCATCTCACATCTGAGCATTGCAGTAATTTCCCAATGTACTTCCCTATTCCCAAATGTATGCCACATAACTCTAAGTCTACTTTTCATGTTACTGCTGGATAATGTATCCAAAATAGAGTTGTCCTTTTACTTCATTGTTCAACACTTAGCAATTTTGTATCTCTACTGGATACATTCTAAGGTTTTCAACATGGCATACAAAATTCCCTCTCATCTCCACCCTTCTATAACCTTTCTCATTCTAGTCACTACCACTTGGCAACTCTCATTTTACCTCCTAGCATCAAGGACTGTTTATAATACATTATATATACACAATACCATTTTATTCCTCTATGTCCATACCTGTGTTATCTTCTCTGCCTGGAAGGCACTTACTCCTCTTTACTTGAGTAACTCTGACTCAATCCTTTCTTACGCTATTCAAATGTCACCTTCTCTCTGAACTCTTTGTTGATGTACTTAGACTGAGAAGTCCCCTATGCCGTATTTCTAAAGCAAATTCTCCTTCCCTCTTTAGGTCAGTTTTCAAACTGGATTTTAATGGACTTTATTTTTATCTTCCTCTCCTACTGAATCATTAGTTTTCCAAGGATGTAACTCTATCTCAATCATATTTGCATTCCCAGCATCTGACATGATGCCTAGCACAAGGGAGAAACTCAGTCAATGTATGTCAACCAGCAGGAAGATTGTGGAGAGTGTAACAATGAAGATGAAAGTACATATTAGGGCCATCCTGTGACAATAGGCTTTAACTAAAGAGTTTGGACTTTATCCTGTAATCAGTGTAGGGCCAATAGAGGTTTTCAAGCAGAATGAGAGGCTTTTCCTTTGGCTGCATGCATACATGTGAGTCGGTGGGTATGTGGGAGTAGGAGAGGAGAAGGTGGGAGCAATAACTGCCAAACTTGGAAAGGTCTCTGCATTGATATCATGTGAAGTTTAACCTTTAATTGAGATCTACGGCATTTTTCCAAGTAGCCTATAGGTGTTTGTGACTCTGTCTCACTGACTCTGAATCAAAGTAGCAGATCCCTTGGGGCTGCTCTCTAGCCAGAAAACTGCTCTGATGACTTCAGCTCTTCCAAAGCCACCACAGAGATGCCTGGGGCTAGCTTCAGGGAATATTTTAAGTCTTCCTTCCACCCACTTGGCTTGTAGTTACTCTACTACAGCCCCATAACATGACAGCTCAGGTCACCTCTGGGTCAGTGCCCTCATTGTGATAATAGATAGCAACTACCATATACATGATGCTTTCTACGTTTCAGGAACTGTTTGAAATCTTACAAGTGTTAATTTATTTAATCCTGTATACCAATTCTATAAGAATGGTAGCATGGTCAAGAGATATGAGCCAACTAACAATCGAATAATTGTTCAGAAAAACAACTAAAAGTGGCAATAAACTGACATTAATATCTGTCTACATATTTATCCATATATCTGTATATTTGTGTCTATTCATATGATAGATGGTTGAAATGTAGATGACTCATTGGTAGGAAAAGGTGTTTGTGAGTGCTGGGATTGTGGGTGACTTTTTCATAAACACACACACATAGGTGTGTATAAACATATATGCATACAATATTGGAGTATGTTATGAGAATGTATTTCTACTAATTAGGTCATTAAAATAAATTTTAAGCTAGCCAGTTTCTTTTTTTTAAGATTTTATTTATTTATTTATTTGACAGAGAGAGATCACAAGTAGACAGAGAGGCAGGCAGAGAGAGAAGGGGAAGCAGGCTCCCCGCTGAGCAGAGAGCCCAATGTGAGGCTTGATCCCAGGACCCTGAGATCATGACTGAGCCGAAGGCAGAGGCTTAACACACTGAGCCACCTAGGCGCCCCAAAGCTAGTTATATTCTTAATAGCTATCATAAATTGGCAGGAACCAGGATGAGGAAAAGTGAGAAAGAGAATCTGGCACGAAAACCAGGAAGAAGAAGAAGATTTAAAAATGGAGGATGAGGGAGGGCAGAACACAACGGCCCTAATCCAACTTATTCTCATGGAGACAGCAAGTTTTTATTCTTTGTCTAACACTCTTCCGATGTCTGTGTTAGCAGGGAATAGGATAGCTAGAATCCCTGCCCTCTTAGAGACGATCATCTAAATATTGACAGAGGATAGTGAAATGCTGAGTGTTAACACCAGAGAACAC